AAAATTTAAGTATAATAGCTTTAAGAAATAGAATAATACTTAGGGTAACCTTTTAAATCTATACCTCGAGTTTACCAGGCCGTGACCGGGGAAGCGGATGTCAGATGTTAGTGGAGTACCAGAGTCCAAGCTTGGATTTTCAGATAGCTCCTCCTGTCCGGCGAATTCCCTGCCATGATTTGTCGTCTAGCTTTTTGTCACTCCACTATTCCAGTAGATGACATGAACAGCCATCTCATAGTAAACTCACACTCATCCCCGACGGACGAGGCTCACCCCAAGGGACCTATCATTGCCTACAGTAGAGTCAGATGTCAGATGGGAATATGAAGCGAAGCCATTACGCCTGTGACCAATGCCGAAGGTCGAAACGAGCTTGTGATGCACCACCTCTTCTTGGCCCTGCATCTTCCAGATGTAGCAGCAGTTCCATGACAGTTGGAGAGCGGCTCGGTAAGTCAACCGGCGCGACTGAGCCGCTCCCTTGACCCTCTGATGAACAAGGCTAATTATAGTTAATTGAGGTAGCCTCTGGGACTGGCCATGAGCCTTGCTCTTATTGTACCAAGACCAGGAAGACGTGTACTATGAACTGGGCTTGGTCACAAATACAGGCAGCGACTTCATTAGATGCTTCAGGCCACGGACCGAATGTTCCGGTCAAGAGGCAAAGAAGTGAAGCGGCTCATACACCGCATCAAGCAACACCAGCTTTTGAGAAACAAGATCCGATATCTGCGGCTTTACGCGTCAATGGCTCATCACGGCCAGTGTCTCATGATCCAAATCGTCTCACTCAAGGCCCGCGTTTACCCAAACTTCAAAGAGCAGCTCAACAACCAGCCTCAAGCTCAATCAACGGCACAGCATTTCAGACACCTCTTACTCATAATAATACACCAAATCTCAGTAATTATAACACCATAACTGGCCAGTTCTCGCCCAGTTATCCGCAATCTACTTATTCACAACCAAATGACTCACGTCTCTCAATTCAGTCACAACTCAACGCTTGGTCGTCTACTCCTCCATCAAACTCATCAAGATCTTACAGTCATTTGTCTACGCCGTCCATTGGAGAGGACACCGCCAGTGAAGATGACACAACGAGATTCAAGCGTCGGCGCACATCGCCAATCTGGACTGACCATCGCATGAACTCATTATCGCCGTTCTCAGTTGACCAGACAATGATGACGAGAACCAACAACCAATTCATTTCCACAAATCTCCTACAAATATACCATGACGTTCTCGAACATAACCTTTCATGCTGGCTCACAGAAGTCACATGCCCTTACAGAGCTCCAGGTTATGTCACATCGGGGAGCTATGCCCCTACGGAATGGGGATCTTCGTGGTCAAACCGCATATATCGCCGCACTATCAACCTCGACCATGCAATTCAGACAGCCAAACTGACACGGCTAACGCGGGCCGAAGACCAAGGCGCCGCTAAAGCATTCCACCTTGCTATTATGGCATTTGCAACGCAATGGGCTCAAGGCAGTCGACGCCAACAACAGCGCTACTCTGACGAGGATGAAAGGCCAGAAGATATCCTCAACGACATCAATGAGGAATTTGATCGAAACATTCAGCGGAACATCTGGGAGCAAGCCAAAAGAGCCCTGCAAGAAGTCTCGGACGTTGAATCATATCGCGTGGCAACGGCGGAGCTAATATTCGGTCTCACACAAAAGCCATGGACCCGTGATGATGGGTCCGTGGCCCCAAAGAACCCCAGCACATTGATCAGTGCTTCTCCAAAAGTTGATTTGAAGGCTTTGAACGCTGAGCTGGGAGAAATTATATCACGAGACGGTCTCCCTGTCTTCATGGAGAGAGCTGCACGAAAAATGCATGCTCTCAAGTTCCGTTTCGATTCGGGCCGCCGTGGCGTCACTGGACCTCTCACTAGTCCAAAGAACAATGATCTATTGTCCATGATGAACCCTGAAGATCGCGGCACTGTTGGGCTGCTATACTGGCTTGCGGTTATGCTCGACACTGTCTCATCGTCTATGAGTGAGCGTCCAGTTGTTGTTGCTGATGCGGACAGTCAGCATGACGATGCAGATGAAGATCTTGACTCAACGACAAACGGACGGTGGAACGTACCTTTGTTCATTCAAGACAGTTTGGAGCAGCCTCACATGTATCATACTGTGCATTGGCCTTGCTCTTATGAGTCTGCGGCTGAAGCTGTCACCAAATCAGCACCCGTCAAGGTCTTGCTATTCCGGCATGTTTCTTATCTGCAAAACATTCTAAGAAGAGGTGGTCGTGGTGAGAAAGTCGAAGAAACAATCAAGAACACGACCTCCCTATATCGATATTGGAATATGACGCATGGTGCGTTCTTCAAAGAGCTACTCCATGACTACGAATCAGTGCCAGCCCGTCTCCAGAGCTGGTTTGTCTGTATCTCAGCACATTGGAACCTCGGTGCCCTCATGCTCGCCGATCTTATCGAGTATGTCGATGAGAACGAGCTAGGAGAAGCAACAGCATCTCAGAGCCGATTAGCCAGCAAGATGGTCACAAGAATACGTGAAGCGAGTGCACGAGAACTCTCCGACCTGGCGAAAGTATCAACGCCAAGTCACAACCTAACAAACATGACAGGACCTCAGATGTCACATTTCCACCATGCAGTAAACGAAGCAACAATTCTCACAGAGCCATGGACTATCATCCTGATCAGGGCCTTTGCCAAGGCTGCTATGATATTAATACACGAAGCGAACGATTTCTTGGAGTTTGGGCTGACTACACCAGCCAACACTGGCCACGATTTTCAGGAGAGCATGCGTCGTGCACAGGATTGCGTAAAGGGGTTGTGGATATTAGGCAAGAAGTCTGATATGGCGAGGAGGTCGGCAGATACCCTGGTTTCAGCGATGAAGAAGCTGAAAGTATAGGTCTTGTTTGTATACCCATTGCTTCTATTTTTGTATTGTGATTTGGCCCTATTTTCATGTTGTATATACCCTGTAAGTTTCACAATTTATACACCGAGGAACCCCGCATTTTTGGCATGTGTTATCCCGAACAAGCCAACGTACATCGCCGCAAACACAGCATGCCCACTGCCACTGTACCCGTCTCCGCTTCCGTTCCTGGCCTCCTGGATGATTACTGTAGCCGTTCTTTCCCGAGTGACTTCCTATACCTATCGAACGACGACGGTCGGGAGCGTCTTTAGACCTGCTAGATTCATCGTCTTGTCCCAGGGGCTTCTTTTCCTGCACAGATGATGGTCCGGCCTCATCTGTTCCCGTTTCGAAACTTTCTGAAGTGAGTGGTAATGCGAAGAGGGCAAGCCGTCTCTGATGCTCGCCAACATGACTCTGATATGTTTTGATGTCTTGTAGTTCGAGCTTGCAGAAGGGACAGCATGATCCCTTGGGGAATCCAGTCTCGTTGAAGGTGCCAAGTTGAACTAAATCCTCATCCTCGGCCGCGCTTACATGGTCACCATGAGTCTGGCGAAGGTGTTCCCTACATTCACTGCTCGTCGTGGATTTGAGGCTACATCCAAATGGACAAAAATAAATCCTCCAATGCTCTTCCAGTAGATGTTTCATCCAATCTTTGCGGAGGGCATACCGATACCGAGGCGTTAGGCAATCTTCCTCCAGACAGACATATGGTTGTAAGTCCTGGTACACATGCTTTCTAAATATTGTTAGCTACATCCAACATTGTACCTTCGTGGCAACTTACTTCCAAGCAGCTTCGGAGTGTACTTTTACCATGCCCTGGCAATACACACAGCGAAATAGATTGCCTTGTGTGGCTTCTTGAGGGAAGACAGGGACCCGACTTGCTCGTGCATCATCTACAGCCGAACATGATGTGACAGAGGAAAGCTCAGGGCCGATTTCGTTGGCCTCATTGTTTCTATGTGTCAAGTCCTCCAGGGCAATCTGCTCCGCAAGGGGCTCCATTTCCGGTATAAATAGTGTGCCACCGTAGAAGGAGAGACTCTGTTGGTCTTGTTTGTGCTTGAAGAGTTGCCGCCGAGCTGAAATAGCCTTGCCAAGACGCTCTGCTATAGCAGAATCTATTTCGGGATACATGGAGCGAACGTGTTGGATATCGAAGGGCTCAAAGGGCGATGGCTCATCGGTTGTTCTGGCATCAGCCAACGATCCCCTTAATGCTGGATTGAGATATGATAGATTGCTGATTGCATCGTCTATATGAGCCAGAATCTGGCCTATCTCTGCTGTTGTAAATTCGTTTAGTGTTTCCGCGTCGTCTTCTGATTGTGAGTCCTCCTTGTCTTCGATCTGATCCCAAGGTATCATTTTCCCAACAGTGATCGCGTGGGCATCTCGAAGTAATCTCTGGATATGGCTCAAAAGCCGGATAATCTGGAGCTTGATACGGTTGTTGTCTTGCAATTCTTGATCAAGTGAGTGTGTTCGGGCGTTTCTTGACCAACGAGTGAATCGACTTGTTAAGGTCTTGAATCTCACAATCTTATCAGGGTTGGTAACATTGACGATAGTCGGGTATCCCAGTTTCTGTTCTAGGCGCTCAAATCCTCTGGCGCAGCCTGCCGCCAGCTGATCAATACTTTGGGCATTTTAGGGAAGTATCACCGTCTGTGAGGACGAATATTGGTGTTGTAGGTAGCGACATGATTCCATGCTGACAGGTGGAAGGTAAGGTACTTGATCAAGTCCGAGTCCTCCAATGTAAGGTAGGTATGTGCAAATATGCCACCTCACAATATGCATATATGCATGCGCCAATATTTCTCTTGCACTTTCAACCCCTCATTTCCACCCAATGCATTCATGCCCAAGTAATCATGAGAGTGTGACCTCTCTCTCAGTTGAGCATTATCGTTCGGATATACCACCAACACCCGGACGGATCGGACACTTTCATTATCACCAGAATCATGTCTGGACTTGAAATCGCAGGCCTTATTCTAGGGGCAATTCCAGTTGCAATTGAAACACTCAAGACGGGGAGTCAAGTAATGGCGATATTCCAACGAAGCCGCAGGTACGAGAATGAATTGGAGAGGCTGGTCAATAAGCTTGAGAACGAACGCGTGAGGCTTGAAGACGTGTGTGAAAAAGTTCTCATCGATCTTGCGCCTCACTCGAGGATAGACCACTTGATCAAAAGCCCTGATCGCATGTTCAACGATGACCCAGAACTTAAAGCCAAACTTCGAAGGCGATTATGGAAAGGCAGTGAACTCTTCGATCAGACGCTGAAAGATATCAATTCTGCCATGAACGAAGCTATAAACCGCGTTAATCTTCAGATTCAAGATGAGTCCAACATCAGAAGATCACTCAAGCACTCGTTCCTTGACGACTTATTATCTCGGATCAACGAAGGGGTTTCGATCCTTGAGCAGCTCGTGGATAGGAGCATACAACTCGAGCCGGCTAGGAACAGGCGTTTCCAAGGCATATTCCTATTTTGCATACGCAATTTGGCATGCGAGCTCGCCTGTGCACTGCGAGCCAGCTTCCATTGCACTTGCAGACACCAAATCTGTTTACAGCTCGAGAGACGGTCCCCAGACATGGTCCCTGGCGATACAGAAGATGAGGCCGCCAAATACATCGGGTTTCACCTTGCACTCTCATATATAGGGCCTTCTATAAAGCCTGACATTGTCTCTAGTCGGGATACGATGTGGTCAGATGTGTTTGCCAAACCGAGCCCGATATCCCGCCCAGAAGCCTTGACTATTACTATTCAACCAAAGCCAAAGGATCACATGAAGGTTTCTAGGGAAAACAGCAGTCCCATATACAGTCGATACCTTTCCTCGCCCATGAATGGCTCGGCCAAGCTCCAAGCCAACTCTTTCGAGCTTAAGTCAGTGGTCAACCATCCGCAACGATCTTCTAGAACCGTGGATCTCTGTAATAGTATCACGCGGCCCATTAAATCTAGTACCGAGACATCCTATGGTATGATATTCGATGCGTCAACCCCAGAATCGTACGCATACCATGTATCCTCAGTCATCCTCAGCAAATACCGAGCACGATGTGGTAGGACTATGACATCGTTGAACGAAGTTCTTGGTCAGAACCGTCGACACATGATTCTCTCGGAACAAGACAGACTCAAATTAGCCGCGGTCATATCTTCCAATCTTCTTCAACTTCATGGCAGTCCATGGATGCCGAAAGTCATCCGCAGCCAAGATATCTACTTGATCCAAAGCGAGGATGACCCCATTTGCGATCGCTTTTTTGTCATGCAAACTCTGCCAAACAAAACCGGTCCCTGTATTGAAGAAAATACGGAATTGAGTTCTATGAGGAACCAGGCGTTGTTCTATCTGGGTGTGCTTTTGATCGAATTGGCTTTTGGTAAATCACTTGAGCTGCTTCGAAGTGAACGGGATAAGTCAAGCACTGGTTCTCAATTCTTTACAGACTATAGAACAGCGAAACGATTGATCGATCAAGTTAAGAGCTTCATAGGGCCAAGTTACGGGAGTGCAGTCTCACGGTGTATTGATGGAGAGTTTCACGGACGAGGAGTAGGGCTTGAAGATCAAGATCTGTCTCACGATGTGTACGCTGGAGTCGTGGCGCTGTTGGAGAAGGAGTTGGAAGTCTAACAACCATCTCACAAAGAGTCTACTAAGACAATTAAAAACTATATAAACAAGACTGAGCGCCGGCAGTTAGTGTGTTAATCTCAAGCAAGTTGGAGGTGACTGTACAGGGTAATTGGTTTGGTATGTGAGATGGTGGGTGACCAACTCGATACTTGACAAAAACAAGGCAGATACTCTTGAATGCATAAAAAGTTATGAATGACGAATCAAGACTGAGTCAGTCTCTGGTTGAGCTGAGAAAGTGAGCAATGTCTCGAGTTTCTTTGACTGATCGACCAGGATGAACCCCCTTGACCCATAATTGCTTTTTCCTGCCATAAAGACAACATCGATCAAGTCAACAACACATCCTTGTGGTAAATCTCGCACGAGTCTCAGATCCTGCACTCGTTGAATCAATTACTCACTTCAAGTGACACGATACATCTCACTTGTTTGCTTCTACAGGTATTCTACAGGGGTTGTCCTCGGCCGAACACTCGGTCTGTCTCCTCTCTCTCTGTCTCTATGCAGATCTCTCGCCCTTGTCCACCTCCTTCTAGCACATACGACCATATCATCAAATCCGTATCCACGGAACTGGCTGAGTGATAGCTAAGACACGGGCTAACTATCACAATGACAAGTGATCAAGGGGGTATATCCCGACATTCAGGTCGTCAACTGAGACCGCTCTGTGGAGCCCTCCCTTTTGCCGACGAGAACTATCTAGCCTCATGTTTCTTCTTGTACTCTGAGTGAAAAAAAAGAAACCTCCTACACTCGTGAGAGTACGAATGTTTCGGGCCAAGATCAAAGTAAAGGCTTGGAAAGAGTTGAGGCGAGGTTTGAGAAAAGAAGCCACTCAACCCTTTTGGCGCGGGCCCATTCACTGCTAAGCCCTGCTAATACCCTCTCAGGCATGCTCGTGCCCATGTCAAGCTGAAGTTGAAGGCTATCTCCAAGACTAGCGATCTTTTTTGACGCTGATGACAACCTGACATCCCAAAAGCAAAGAGCCATCCCAGCGATCAGCTATCACATATCCTCCTCATCACAGACGGTATGAGATAGTTCTCTGATCGACGACCAAATGACGATTAACCCATGGCAACTTGAGAATTCCTGTGAATCTTGGTCACTGACATAGTCACTGCAGAGATAGTCGTGAGCCTTGTAGACTCTCACATCGCTCGAGTTGCTGGCAGACCCGTGCAAGAGTTCTCTCCACCTAACAACAACGTTCCATCCCTCGCTCGTCTCCTGTTTCCAGAAAGACAGTATTTAAAACTGAGACAAGATCTTCCCATTCCTAAACGCCAGTTCTTCAAGCCCTGGCGCGTGGCAAACAGAGGCCGAAAAGCGACGGGTCTCGGAACCCCTCCCCAACTGTCTTCAGATCCCCTTTACTGACAATCTCAGCACAGTATTGCCTGATAGTCACTTTCACATAGCTTCTTCTCAAACTGCAAGCTTGGCATGAGCACAGTAGATACAGTTACTCTGGCGGGATCACGGTCCGTGGCCGAACATCGAGCGCTTGTCTCACTCCACTGACCACTGACGACCTGGGGGAGCTTCCGATAGGGCGAGCCAGTAAGCGATAAGGGGAAGGGATGCAAGTAATATATAGGTCATATAATTCCACCACCATTGCTACAGAAGGGAACAAGTGACAGCTATTCGTTGGTATGCAGGAGCTCAAGCAACCCGATATTGCTCCACCAGAACCATGATGACGAGGACTTTGCTAGTGATGCCAGACAAAAAGCATCTACTGAAACTAGACCTCAGTTCAACAAGTTACCGTCGTAGAAAGGCTTCGACCCTTGTTGCTTTTTCCTCTGTCCCAAAAGCAAAGTAATACAAGCTCCTCTCAAATGCGTCATCGCGGCACGAATCATCAGCTGTAGACCATTAGCTCCAGACCACAATATGAGACATAGTATGTCAACAAACCTCGGCATATAGCTTCCTTGGCCGATTGAACGGCAACACCACCTCGAGCTGCCAGCTGCACAGCAGCTTCGATAGTCTTGTCCAATACTTGCCCATCCTTAAACATGTCGCAGACCAGCCCACAAGACAAAGCTTCTTCACTCGAGATCGGCGTTCCAAGCAGGATGGCTTTCATGGCCTGAGTTGATTTAGTGAACAAAGTCAGTCTCGGCGCCTCATCTCGAGCACGTGTATCATGAAGCTTACTCTGAACTTGCCCAAGGCAGACGTGAGCCGTTGAGTGCCTCCCGCTCCGGGGATGAGACCAAGGTTCACCTCGGGGAGTACAAACTTTGCACGTGTAGATGCATAGATTAAATCACACTGATGTATGTTAGTTACTGGCTATCCGTCCTTATGTTGAAGTCTCACCATCATGGCAAGCTCAAAGCCACCTCCAAGCTATCACAAGTTGTCAGTTATAGGCACTATCACAAAGTATTGAAGCGATCGTACCGCAGGCCCATCTACTGCTGCTAGAACAGGCTTCCTCACAGCAGCCATGCCATGGCACAGATCTTCCAGGTAACGACAGGATCTGGCTGCTTCTGCATCCATCGTCGATATCTCCTTGATATCGGCACCAGCTGTCAGGCAGATCAACAAACTGCCAAGAAAACGTGGTTCGGAACTTAACTCACCTGAGAAGCAAGAGCCGCGTCCAGTTACTACGATGACTTTGGTGTTTGAGTCAGCCGAGACTCGAGAGAGAGCTTTAAGGAACTCAGTAATCATGGCTTTTGAGAGTGCATTGCGCTTCTCTGGGCGGTTGAGTGTGATCACTGACACCCCCGGTGCGTGGGCGGGGGAGTCAACAATGATGAGACTGGCATCTGACATGATGAATGACGACGTTGGAAGAAGAGATGACCAAGCGGAGAGTAGAGCTGTGAACTGGTCGATAGTGACAGGAAGTGACAGACAGGTCTTTAACCCTGATTAGTTGAGTATCTTTTATGCCAAAACGACGCGCCATCAACTTACCAAGTTGAGTCGAGTTGGCAGCACAATCATCAAAGACACTCTTGGCACCATCAAAAAGCCACAGGCTATGTATATCTTCACGGTATCTTCACACACCCCGAATTGCAGGGCGGGAATGGATCTCCAAGACATGTCCGTCATAATCGTTAGCCCCTGGGCAAGGGTTCACTACCACTTAAGATTGACTGACAGGTTCCGGTTTCCAGGGTGTGGTCGAGTACCCCGACTAAGATCCAGCCCATCGGAATCAGGCAAGGTAGTATTGAAGGAATACCCCAGAAGACGGTTCCTCAAATGTGAAAAGCGATTTATCGGTACCTGAATTGCGGGGCCTTGTCCGGATCCCCCCTTGGCGTCCACATGTCTCATCGCCCGTCACATTCCTCTCTTGACCGGGCTGCCCCGTCCCACATTCTTCCGTACCCCGGGGCCGGCTCCGTATAACTGAGACCCCCGGGCGGGTGTGAGAGGAATGCAGAAGCAAGTATGACAATCTGGTTCCGCCGTCCCCTCCGGGGGCGTGAGTTCGATCGCAAGTTGCTGTGGAAACCAGGGCAACCTCCATATCTCGCGACGACGTCAAACCCCCCATGGGGACACGTCAAGGGACGATTGATGGATCAAAGACCGATAATGATGAGTATGGACATCTCAGAAGACAAAGATGAAACATCCTTTCCAGGGCGGGTGCCACCTGTGCCACGCCGTTGAAAATATATAAGCCCGCCCGTTGGTATCTCAGGGTCAACTCAACGGTCAACAACAGACATCAACAATCCCCATTGTCTCTTCCTCACCTTATTTCACTCTTTAAAGTGCCCTCTTCACAATGGCCGTCGTCAGCCCGCTACAGGGACCTTCCCTGCACAAGTCTGCTCTTCAACTTGGCCAAGGGGACTATGTCGAGCCTCCATTCCCAACAGTGACTTCAGCATTCTATCACCATGCAAGAACTTCTCCAGATACCATAGCCCTTCGTGATCTCTCAGGATCATTGAAAGAGCTTACTTATGGACAGCTTGCAAGACAAGCCCAAGAGTTGGCTGCACAGCTCATTGCTCAAGGTGTCTGTTCTGACTCCCGAGTACCACTTGTCGCTAAAAGGGGACTGGACATGATCATTGGTATATGGGCAATCCTTTCATGCGGAGCTCAATATGTTCCTCTCGATGGAGGTGTCGTTCCTGATAAAACTATTCGTCGAGTTCTTGAGCAAGCCGGCGGCGGCGTCGTCCTTTGTTTGTCTTCAACAAAGCACCGCGTTACCTCCCAACATCCCAACCAGACTGTGGTTGTTATTGACGAAATGAAAACGAGCCCTGTTGAAGAGGATGCTCATATCGATCTCGCAACTCCAGATTCCGGCTGTTACGTGATATATACATCAGGTAAGTCAACGCAGAGCTCAATGTTTCAGAGTGCACTTCTCACAGGGAGATAGGAACAACAGGAGAGCCGAAGGGCGTCGACATCACACACAGAAATGTCGCCAATCTTGTGTGCCTGGCCCCGGGGAATCTGGGGGTAGAAGTTGGCACTTGCGTTGGCTCGGTCCTCAACATAAGTTTCGACATGGGTGAGTTTCTCGTATCCAAGAGGTTTCCAATTCTGACCCAACTCAGCGGCATGGGAAGTCTTTGTTTGTCTATGCAATGGAGGAACACTCGTTCTCCGAGGTTCTAAGTGGGAACCAACTCTCCAACAGGTTCGTTACGGCTACATCACTCGATTACCAGGCTCCGACTTACACAGAAATAGATTGATGTCCTCATCTGCACACCAACAATCCTCTCCAAATATCATCCTACACAATATCCCAGGATAAAAACAGTGGCCACAGCCGGCGAACCAACTACAAGAAGGTGAGTAATCAGTTGAGCATAGCTTCCAACAGCTACTGACCGGTGTAGTCTTGCCGATTTGTGGGCAAGTCACGGCACATATTGGAACTGCTGCGGCCCTACCGAAACAACGATCGTAAATACTATGCATCAACATGTCGCTGGACAAGAGTTATCGATCGGTCGACCAACTCCCAATAACAGAGTATATATCCTCAACGGTCTAGGTGAGCCCGTACCTATGGGCGCCACAGGAGTGATGTGGGCAGGCGGCCGTGGAGTCTCTAGAGGCTATATCGGCCTTGATGAAAAGACTGCGGAGAGATACAAGCCGGATCCATTTGCCAATGACGGGTAAGATACCTCGCTTGGTTAGACTATCCCAGAGCTGACAGTCCAGATCAACGATATACAACACTGGCGACCTTTGCCGTTGGAGAACTGATGGTTCAGTCGAGATTCTCGGCCGAGTCGACGATCAAGTCAAAGTAAAGGTACATCAAAAGTCCCTTGTCGCACTCGCCATGATCTGACCTCAATTCAGGGTTTCCGCGTGGAGCTAGATGGCATCTCAGCATCCCTAGCTTCGGCCCCAGGCGTGTCTCGGGCGGCAGCGCTGCTGATCGACGGAGAGATACATGGGTTTACCACCCCGCGCCGATGCGATGCAACCACCACCATTAAGCATGTACAGCAACACCAGCCCTACTATGCCGTTCCTACACACCTCCACCTCCTCGATGAGCTACCCTCAACACCAAATGGCAAAGTCGACAAGGGAAAACTCAAGGCATTGGCCTTGGCAAAGCAGACTGTTGCAACGCAACCATACGAGAAAGAAGGAGTCCAGGATAACCACGCCGAACTCAAGTCCCAATCGTCCATGTCGTCTCTGTCGACTCTGACCGAGAAGATTGATCTTGAGAGTGGTCTGCCTGATAAGATGGTGGCACGACCCCTCAGAGGTCTAAGACATAGGATCTTCATTGTCTACCGCACCCTGTTCAGTCTCATAGGACTACTAAACTTGGCAGCATTAATCTGCGTGGTTGCTCTGCAGCTCAAGTCAGAATGGCTTGGTATCATCACTGCCATCAACCTTGTAATCGCAGTACTTGTACGACAAGACACGGTGATCAACATCATGTATACCATCTTCTGCTCAGTACCAAAGCATTTGCCGCTCGGGATCAGGAAACGCTGTGCCAAGATATATCACCTGGGTGGTGTGCACTCCGGTGCGGGAGTCTGTGCCACAGCATGGCTGGTTATCTCGACGGTACGTAGAACAATCTGCAATGCAGGTTTCTGCGAGGGTCACGCGATTGGGTCCTTGGCAACACAGGTCGTATCGTGGGCTCTATGCGGGCTGCTATGTTCCATGGTGGCTACTGCATGGCCCTCTTTCCGGAAGCAATACCACAACTTCTTTGAGCGTTTCCATCGTTTTGCCGGTTGGACATCATTGGGCCTATTTTGGGCTCGGACAATTCTGGCAATCAACGACTCCCGGCCTCAACACCAAGGACTGGGGATCGCCGCCGTTAAGACTCCAGACTTCTGGCTCTTGGTGGTGGCCACCCTCAGCATTGCCTCTTCATGGCTTTTCCTGCGCAAGGTTCCAGTCGAGGCCGAAGTGCTTTCTGACCATGCAGTCCGCCTGCATTTCGACTATACTGTTCCCGTGAATGGTAGTTTCACCCGCTTATCACGACGACCCTTGATCGAATGGCACTCTTTTGCAACCATCCCCAACCCGCAGGCTAATCAGCATGCCAAGGGTTACTCCTTGGTTGTCTCCAATGCTGGCGACTGGACTCGTTCTTGTATACAAAACCCTCCCAGTTCCATCTGGGTACGTGGTGTGCCGACATGTGGTGTGATGCGTATCGCAACGCTCTTCAACAGAATTGTCGTTGTCGCCACAGGATCCGGGATTGGACCGCTACTGGGCCACATTGTCCATCAGACATGCCCTACACAGCTGATTTGGTCTACATCACGACCAGAAGAGTCGTTCGGCAAAGAGCTTGTTGGCCAGGTTCGAGACGCTATTCCGGACGCAGTGATCTGGAATACGAAGACTCAAGGCCGGCCAGACCTTGTGCGAATGGGCTATAACCTAGCCAAGAGCTTCGATGCCGAAGCTGTGATAATAATAGCCAACGAGAAGATCACCAAAAAGGTCGTGTATGGCCTGGAGACGCGCGGCGTGCCAGCTTATGGTGCCATCTGGGACAGCTAGGCTGCACAACCATACATTCGCTTTTCACCAACACATTTCCTTGAACATGTATCTCCAACTTTGTACACTCTCATACCTTGTCTTTCCTATTGATCGTGTTTTGGGTGTCTGACTAGACCACATACTGAATCCCAGTCCATTATTCTTGGAGTTTTCGTTTCTTTCAGTTTCTTTCTTGGCCAGGTCGTATGCAATATTGTCTTTGTTTCTTACTGGATGTATAAGTTATTGGCAAGCTCAAAAGCCGAAGAAGGAAGGGTGACATCATGGTGCTTAAAGATTAGATATGCAAGTATGCAGTAAAACGGTGCGAATCGACCTAGCTTTACCCAAAATGGCAATTTAAAGATCTACGTAATTGGCTCTTTGCTCAACAACTTCAAGATTTGCCGTGTCAAGAACCATGTTATCTTTGCGAAGGATAGCTACGACTGCAGTCCCGGTGGCTGGACGCCAGGGTCTACGGCCTGCAGTTCCAAGCACGAGATTTTACTCCCAGGCTGTCGGGCCATTGGTGTACGATTTACACGAGCCCTCACAACCAAAATATGACAAGAGAAACTCTCCAATTTTGTTCCTCCATGGACTTTTTGGGTCAAAAAAGAATAACAGAGCGATCAGCAAGTGAGTTGATGTTTTCTGTGGTTTGTAAAAGTTTGAGCTAATGTGAAAACAGAGCTTTAGCTCGAGACTTGGGAAGATATGTTTATGCTTTGGTAAGTAAACGGTCAACGGTTCTGGAAGGTTCATAGAATCTCAATATCAGTTCA